AATGGTACCACCAAGCTGTCCCAGACGGCTTATATCGAGAGCATGCTCAACCGCTTCAATGTCACGACCACTGCTCCCACGCCCGCTGTCGTCGACGATGATCTAGGGCCGAAGCGAGACGACGAGTCCTCGGTGGACAAGCCCGTGAGGGAAGCGATCGGATCAGGGTCCGTGAGGACAACGAGGGGGCTCTCGCGTTGGTTCAGAACCCTTTCAGCTCGGCGAGGAGCAAGCATATCGACGTGCGGTTCCACTTCATCCGCGAGCTCTTCAAGGCGGGCAAGATCACCGCAGATTATGTCTCGACAGAAGAGCAGCACGCCGATATGCTGACCAAGGTCCTTGGTAGGGGCAAGTTGGAGTACCACCGGAAGGCTCTGATGAACCTGCCGATGTAGGGTTCTGGTCTCGTTTTCGTGGCGTTTGTTTTGTTTTGTTCTAGCACTGGGCGCGTCTCAGACCATGGTATGTCACGCAGGAANGGACGGTTTCTCTTATGTCTTGAGTTTGTAGGCGAGGGTTTTTGATCCGGATGGCCGAGTTTTTCCCTTGCACCCGTTGTTGTATGAGTATCCATGCCCCACTGATGGTTTGTCGATAGCTTGACGAACCGGGGAGGGTGTTCGTGTGTCTGGACACGAGCATGGTAGATCTGCTAGCAGCACGGGGGGGTACGTAGACAGGAGCATGCGTATGCCTGAAAAAGGCTACTATGTGTGGGCCCCCTTCCCCGAATTCGGGAGGGCCACTTCTTCCCTTCCTTCTCTCGCTCCCGCGGGTGCCTGATCAGAGAGAGTTAAAGCGTGTCTTCTCCTCCCAAGTACGGACATACCAACAGCCCACCCTCTTAGGGATCTGACAGAGAAGGGAGTGTTGGAAATCAGAAATAATGTCTCTAGCGAAGGACATAATAGACTGTTTCGGCTAAAAAGTTAGATATAACGGGGTTTTAGATTTTGAAATTAGCTTAGGAAGTTTCTGGGAAGATTATTCAGTGGCGAACAGTCTCAGATTTAATAAATATGTGACGTTGTGTGACGTGAATTCTAAACGCGCTCTGATTGGGTGATTGACACAGTCTGATGGGGAGACCCACCGCACAGGATGCGCAGCCCTGCGGCCCTCCACCACAGGGAGCAACGAGACAACGAGACACACGACACATGACACCATCACCACACACCTGGTAGCACTACTGGAGTCATCCCACCATGTCACGTCTAACAACATATTGGTGAAATTGAGAGCGAAGCATGAAATTGAGAGCGAGAGCCAAAAATTATAAAATTCTGGTCCAGACGCCTCTTGCCATTTCTTGCGGGGCGGGCTCTTCCAAGAAGCGGCGCAAATTGAAGGTCTCATCAGCAGCGTCACGAGCATATGTGTGTCATTGTCATCGGATGCTGCAGCTAGGAGCTAGACAAGTTGCTAGATTTCCCCAGATTGGCTATTCCTGCCTCAAACTGTTGCAGGGCGGTTTGGCCTCGGGCGGTGGGCTCTGCTGTAGCCTCTACTTGCCGCTGTAACTCCACATCGAGAGACTCCCACAGGATGATGACCAGGGTATCTGCTTGTAGCTACGCGCTGGCCCTTCAATTCAAGCTACACAGCAAGCTCCACCTCTCAGCAGTAGTCCAGCTGCAGCACAATGCGCAATCTCGCTCTCAATCAGATGCTTCGCTCTCAATTTCACCAGTATGTCTGCGCATCCATGAGAGGATGGCGCGCAAAACACGAGCGCTTGTGAATATGCAGTGCCGACAGATGTACGAGGCCTACACCGACATGTGGATGGCATATAACATGGCCTTCATCTACACGATGGCGAGTCTGATCACAGACGATGTGGCAACAAGCTTGGCACGCCGAGACGTGACAAACCTCTTCAGCCCCCAAGACTGCATCAACTTTCTTCGCTTCACGCAACCGCAGGTAGGTGCCCCCCAGTTGTCTCGTGTCCATCTCCTAGCAAGCACCTTGCTAGCTTTGCTGTAGCCTACTGCTACACTGTTTTGTTGTAGAGAGCAAAGCAGCAGCAGTATACTACTCTTCTCACCACACACCTAGGGTTAGGGTTGCCCAGGGTATTCAGCGGCAGTGCGATAGAAGCATTGAATGCACAAGCCGTGGTCCTTCTGCTGAAACTGTAATTTCTAATCATCATGCTTT